CTTCAGGTTACATACTCCGCTAACCCAGAAATAGTAACTCGGGTTAAGAACTTTGCTTCAGGATGAGAACAGAAATCGTGCTCCGGCAACGGGAGACCCCATTAGCTAAAGTGGTACCTCAGGTTAAGAACAGGTTCAGGTTAAGAACGGACCTCCAGAACGAATTAAGTTCTTAATCCAAGGTACCACTATAAAACATTTTAAGTGTGTTTTAAGTGCAATATACAATGTGACATAGATGGCGATGGTGAGCCTTATGGAAATTCAATGTATTTTAAAAAAGGTTTTTATATGCGTGTAGATTCTACCCTGATCAGTAAAAAAAGTTCTGCAGAAAAAGCCTACATCTGCTGTCAAGGATTTGGGTTTGTGATTAATGGCTGCATAGTCAATGTGCTTTGGCAAATTGCCAAGAATTTTTTTAAAACCCAAATATAGAGTCAGGGTGCTCCTTTTCATAATAGAAAAATAATGTTCTGCTGATAGTTTCATGAGACTTTAGAAACAAGTCCTTCTTACAAGAAATCGTAAGTCCTTCATAGCCAGCAGTTTGTATAGAGGCCAAGTGTCCATGAAATAGCAACTGTAGCTCTATAAAATATATTTTTAGGTCTTTTGTCACATATCCTATAATTGGTTCATCCCTGCCCCACACCAGGGTGACAGAGACATTATGTCAGTATCAAATAAGTATAGGAATTTGGCATTGTTTATCTGCGCTACAAATATAAAGGTAAAGGTACCCCTGCCCGTATGGGCCAGTCGTGTCCGACTCTAGGGTTGCGTGCTCATCTCGCTCTAGAGGCCGTGAGCTGGCGCCGTCCGAAGACACTTCCGGGTCACGTGGCCAGCGTGACGAAGCTGCAGCTGGCAAGCCAGCACCAGCGCAGCACACGGAAACGCCGTTTACCTTCCCGCTATAAAGCGGTCCCTATTTATCTACTAGCACTTAAGAGTGCTTTCGAACTGCTAGGTGGGCAGGAGCTGGGACCGAACGACGGGAGCTCACCCCGCCACGGGGATTCGAACCACCGACCATACGATCGGCAAGTCCTAGGCACTGAGGTTTTACCCACAGCGCCACCCGCGTCCCTGCACTACAAATATACAAAGAACTAAACTGCAAAGAAACATTTCTGTGGTGCAGCAGGACTGATTTCCCATTTACTGCTTCTCTGGCAGTAGCTCTGCTCCAGTTCTGATAGCTTGATAATTGTACAAACACAGTTGAACAGAGGGACTCTATCTGCAGGATAGCAAGTCTGCTTGCTCTGTTTTTCCTAATTTTAGCAGCTTTTCGTAGCCCTACGCAAGTTCCATACCTAAAGGGCTAGCTCCTTCTGTGTAATCCTCCTTGTCCACTGAAGCCCAAAGAGGAAGCCCTGATTGGAACTACCACCAAAGTCTACTGAGATTGGTGTCCCTACTTGATTCCCGTATATACCAAGTAGATCCCTACAGTCTGCAGTTTCCAAATATCTCAGAAACCTGCTCCACAGTAACTCATAGCAGAGCTGTTAGCATGGCTGCTCCTATTCTGTAAAATAACAGTCCTTTCATGATATGACAGGCATTTTCCAGAAACAATTAGCAATATTCCTTTTCCAACAGACTTTCCCAGATGGATAACTGGGGCTTTTCCATCACTGTCTGTTGGGTATTGTTTTAGTTTTGTTTTAAATCTGTTGTTTAATTCTGCTGTTTTCTGCATTTTTTTAGTAGTTTTTGTTGCATATTGCCTTGAGACAATTATGGTGACTATAACTGTTGTTATTATTGCTGGGGACTCAGGAAAGGAACCCACTGTGTGAAACTCCTGCTCTGGGAGATCCTCTGCTCTCATCTTTATTGGTCTTCCAACACTCGCAAAAGACCTGTTTGGTTTTTTGCACTGATCAGTAGCTGCATTTCTGATCTTTCTTGATACTGTTGTTGTTCTGCTGCTGTTTCCTTTTGTGTTTTTAAATGTATTTAATTTGTGTTATTAATCATTAACATCATTAATGATGTTAGCTGAGTTGGAGTATAAATAAATTGTGCAACAAGATTAAATAAAAAACAGAAAGCTACAAAGTGACTGACATAGCACCACGGTAGGTGCTGCCACACTAAGGGCTAATCCAGACTTCATTTTGCACCACACTTTCCAGGCACAGGTCCACGTTTTGTAGGCCACACAGGTTTTGTTTTATCCCACTGCTTTCCTGAGAAAACCCATTGTTCAACACTGAATCGGAATAAGTTGACACAATTTGCTCACTAAGGCTGCAGTCTAACCACCCTGATGTTGATGACTATGAGAGAGTATTAAAATGAATTGCAGGCCTCCATCAGCAGAGAGGAGCGCCACTGATGAAGGAGGGAGCTCTGCTCTGAGTGGCTGGGAAGCTACTGCTGGTGGCCCTCCTCCTGGGGAGCATTTTACCACCCTGTTCTTTAATTTATATTTAAATTGGCACTGAATGGCTCATGTACACACACACACACACACACACAGAGAGAGAGAGAGAGAGAGAGAGAGCGCACTTAAATTAAGGAGTTTTATCATGCCAATTTAAAAATTGTTTTAAAAAACTGCTTCCTTTCCAACTCCAGCCATTTTAGCAACGTGTCTGTTGTTTTCAGTTAGAAACTTCTGATGTAAAACACGTCTGTTCCAGTAATGCAGCACTTTGTAACAAGGCATAGCAGAAATCAGCCATAAACAGCTTCAGTAAGTACTATGGTGCAGATTAAACAATTGATTTAAGCAGTGGCTGCTCAGGTGAATTGTACCCTTCCCTGCCCACATGACTTTGTCATGTCCACTAGAGTGAACAGAATGTATCAGGATGCACCCGCAAAAAATCACAATATTCCCAAGAGGGTAGAAAATCAGCTGCAATTTGCATTTGTAGCTTAAAATGGAAGAACAGTGATTATAGCTCTAGGAGCAGCCTAAAGCTTTTGGCCTACCCCTTTCTCAATTCTACAGAAAATAATCCTCAGGGTAACAACCATAGTGGCAGCAGAGATAGGACAGGTATCACTGAGTCTGAAGAGGGCTACTTTTCTTTACAGCTGGCAGCATAGGGAGAGGTTTTTCCACAACTGAGAAGTTTTAGGAACCCTTCATAATATTCTTTGAAAAATTAAAATATTTCATTGCACTGCAGTATTGGTATATTCACATCCCTCTTTGATGAGCAAACAGCAGCTCCCCATTTTCAGAGAGGCAGCAGCTTTGGCAGTGGAAGGCAAAAGGATTTGTGAAATTTCAGCAACCACTTCGTCCTTTGCATGGGGACTAGATAATGAACAAATACAAAACAGGGCTTGTAAAACATTCACAAAAGCAAAGCAAAAGCATGCCCCAATTTTATTCCGTCTATGATAAGTTTTATAGGTTAATGCAAGAAACAGGATGTGCGCATCATTAGTTTGACCCAACAGGGAAGCCTTTATAGTACAGCAGCTAGAAGGGTTACCTTTATTCATTTGTCCAACACCCAAGTACAGAGACTCTTCCCTCCCTTTTCCTTTTGCCACTCAAGTGACTCTACACAGTGTAGAAATGTCCTCATGGTGTCAGCATTCATTGTTCCTAATAGGAACAGAGGAAACTGACATACTGAGTCAGACTCAGTCCACGTAGCTCAGAATTCTGTGCCCTGACTGGCAGTGCTTCTTCAGGATTTCGGGGGGGGGGCACATTCCCAGCTCTTTCTGGAGATACCAGGGACTGAAACTGGGACCTTCTGCATGCAAACCAGATGGTCTATAATTGAGCTATGGCTACCTCCCTGGGCTTTTACTGTACAGGTTTGCTTTGAATACAATGGCTTTAAATCTTTTGTAATCATTTGAAATTGAGGGGACAACCTGTTCAGTTGCCACAAGGAAGTTCAGGTGTCATGATGCTATAGTAAAAAGTGGAAGTCTTAGTTATGAAATGTCAAAATTATACTTCTTTCCCTGCTTTTTTTTAATAACAGAGATGGAACCTGGAGGCAGGAAAATTGTTCTGCTTTAGGAATGTGCTACTTGAAGCCATTGCTTCAGACTATTTCATAAGAATGCTGGGCTTGATGCAGAATACATTTATGAGTAAAAATCAAGAGCAGAGGATTTGATTGTAGCTATATGGGCAGTTTTACCTTCCCCAGTATGAATTCTTGGATAATATTTTTTAAAATGCTGTGGTTCAGCCTTGCTGTGCCAATGGGAAGGCTGCTTTTTTACAAAGTGCATATATGCCTTGTTTATCCCAAAGCGGAAGGAAACATGGTAAAGACTTGCAGATATTTACTGAAATATATGTACATAATGTACTTTAGTATAAAAACAGTGGTAATCACAGCACATTTCCTTAACCCTGGTCTCCAATTTGGGTAGTTCAGTACAAATGGTTACTCCGAAAACAACAAAAATAAATGTTTGAATCTTTAAACAAAACTAGATGGTTGCTGATGCACCACCCAAACTGTATTCAGTGTGACCATCTGCTTTGATAGAGCAGCAAACGGGGGTGGGGACACACACAGAGGAAAGGGTGTTTCTTAACTTTTTTGTTGTTATTATTTTAAAAATGTAATCTCTATCCAATTGTTCACAAATATATTATGTCTATATTTTGTAACTGAGGGTTTCTTCTCCCCTTCTTCCTCTGTATTTTAATATGCTGAAGGCTATAAATAATAATCTAAACAAAGGATCACTGGAGTAACTGAAGTTCTGTTCATCACCTAGCACATAATAAAAATGTTATGCTTCTCTTATATCAATGAGTAAAATAGGTGGTTCCCAATATATCTGGTTTAATTTCACTCTCATGGACACGTTCTGTTTTCACATGGTATTTTAAGTCAAAGGCCCTTCAAAACAGCTAAAATTAGGTATTAGCTAAAATATGTCCAACTATCTGTTTTATCCACAGGCCTTATTTGCAAACCTTTCTGTCTTCTTTCCCTAATCCATTCTGCTTTCTGTCTCTATCTTCTAACTATCCTCCATCTTTCCAGATGCAGGACGCTATGGGCTATGAGTTACCCTGGGTGTACTTTGTCAGTCTGGTCATCTTTGGATCCTTTTTCGTTCTTAATCTGGTTCTTGGTGTGTTGAGCGGGTAAGCTGCTGGTTTTGGTGTTATTTTTTCCCCCTCATGCTGCAGGGCAAGACTCCAGAATCAGGGTTCTTCTGTGTCACCAGAATCCTTTAACTGTCACAAGCAAAACCAAGGGTTATATTTGTTATGATTTCTACATTGATTCCCCAGACTGTGTCTTGCCTGTGTCTGACAGGCAAGTTACAGCACAGTATACAGTGGTTGGAAATTCACTTGGTAAGGTGACCGAATACTTAACTCAATCTATACTAAAGTAGGTAGAAAATTTACTTCCTGGTTGGTTGAACCGAACAACAAATTCAGCACTGGTGACTCAAGTTCCCTTCAACTGGAGCCTTGTAATGCTCAGGAATGGAACTTTCCACACTAATTATCATTCCACTCTTCCAGGTCAATGATGCCATAGGAAGGGGCTGGCCCTGGATCTATTTTGTTACACTAATCATCATAGGGTCATTTTTTGTACTTAACTTGGTTCTCGGTGTACTTAGCGGGTAAGCAGTACCTGGAAAAATGTTTGGAATTACTATTGTTGTTGTTTAATTACACATGCTTCTGTATTATTCTTTATGTTCTTTCTCTTGGGTTGAAGATATGGGCCCTGATCCAACATATTCCCAATGTCATCTGCTAATGTCAGTGGGATTTGGATCAACTTTCCCTTATAAATGGACAGTGAAAGTCTAAATTAAAAGTATGGCATTAAGCAGCCTAAAGTAGTGGGGTGGGGGTTGAAAGCCAGCACTGCCAAAAACTAGCAGTGCTAGGTGTGGAAAACACTCCCCACCCTTATATATAACATTGTTGGGATTGAAACTTCACCCCGATATGCAAACTGTTGCCCCTGGTGGAAGTAATGAATATAGTAAATAACATTATCATAACTAATGAGCTTATAACTAGAATTTATGAGTGGTTTACATGGGGTCTCAGTAGGGATTGGGAAGCACAGGTCTAATTACTTTGATTATTATTGGCTTGATAAACTGACATCACAGCACAACTGGTAAATGTTCGCTATGTACTTGTGTGTCACAGAGGATTTTCGAAATTTTAGAATTTGAATTCTAAGACCCCTGAGTAATTAAAGCACATAAGTTGTCTATATGCCATAGGTCTTTTCTTGTTATTACATTAGTGAAGCAGTTTCATAACCGTTTAATGAAATGTTGACCATAGAGAGAAAAATAATACCTATTGCTTATTGGGTGATTTCCATTAATTTCAATGGGATTATTCTGAGAATGACTAACGTTGGATATCACCCTATGCATGTGACATCATAGTAAAGAATTGGTAAAAAATGAATGGAAGTATATGAAACAAATTTTAACCTACTGATGTTATGATTGTTTATTCAATTTATATCCCATCCTTTCTCTGGAAGGTGCTTCTCAGATTATTATTTTTCTTGGCTAACAACTCTCCATTGTAACTCCATTTAATCATTGAAGGACAGGGCAGGTTTTTTGTTTGTTTTTGTTTCTAGCCTTCTGAAAAATGGGGGTCAGAAACAAAAAAAAATGGTGGTAAAATAGGAAAGATTTCAATTTTTACATTTTATACATGTCAATTGAAAAATGCAGGTTGCCCATTAGCTGTATAAACATTTGTTACCATACACACTTAGCAGATTGCGGATTTGTTCTGAGGAAATTGCCCACATGAATGAAAGGGTAGTTCAGTCAACAAACCTTTTGATAATTTGCTTTCTTGGTATGACAGCTAACAAGCATAAATAATTTATGCCCATTGTAAGATGTGGAACTGAATGGAAATTGCAGTCATTTCACAGAATAATGCCAAATAGGAATCATTTGGAGGTCATTCTTGGTCATATATTGATACTGAATAGATTCAAATTAGCACCATAGATGGAATTTTTAAAAGAATTTCATTTGATATTCCCAGAGACAGCAGGCCTTCATAGATCAGATTTTAAGATACTGGTTTTTGTACTACTTTGCTATTGTTGCTGTGGAATGATTTTTCAAAACCACTAATTTTTCCAATATTATCCTTGCAATAACTCAATAGTAGAATTCCTTATTTGCCAATAATATTGGCCATTTGATTGCCCTTTTCACCCATTGCTGTATTTTTTATTTGTATATATTTTATTTGTATATATTGCTTGTTTTATGTTGCTATGGCCGTTGGCTAATGCGCATAAAGTTTATCTTATCTATCTTACTCATGTAAAAACACACTGATTCCCGGACCATCCACGGGCCGGATTTAGACGGTGATTGGGCCAAATCCGGCCCCCGGGCCTTAGTTTACCTACCCATGGGCTAGAATTTTTTTTTTTTTAAAAAAAATCCTTATTTGCAAGCAGAAAGTCTCAAGTTCAGTTGTCAGATCTCTACTTTAAAAGATTACAGGGAGCAGGATGGGAAATAAGGATGGGAATCATTATTTCTAGTTGATACTTTGGGAGCAGTTGGTACACAGCAGCTTTGAAAATGATCAGACTATCTAAAGAGGCATCAGACAAATATGAACACTAATTTTTCCACTTCCTGGTTCCCCATACATTAGAGTTAACAATATTCAACAGCCTTCAATGTGGAATAATGTTTATACAGTGCTTGGAAGAAGAAAGGCATTGGATTTCTCACTATCCATCTTTTGTTTACAGTTACATGCCACAGAGCTTCAGCTTTCAGTAGAAGCACTTTGTTTTTTCCACATTTGTCATATTTGTGATGTATCCATCTACCTTATGGCAAAGCTGTCTTCTAGAACTGATCTACTGAGCTGTTTCTGATCTTCCTGAGGGTTAAGTGGAGCTTCTTGCAATCCTCCACTTTAAAGTCTTTATTATGAGATTCCTAAGAGAAGATGGAGCAAAGCCTGGCATGATGACAGATATACATCGGCACATACAGAAGCTTGGAGTTTTGCCTTGAGTTGAGAAAAGACTGCCCTTATGTTACTGCAGTACAGAAAATAGTTTGTTCAAGATTATTCAGAATAATATTTTCCTGCAAGCATTTTATAAGAAATAATAACAAAAATAATCATTAATTCTCTTTGAGAAATGATTTGAGATACAGAACAAGTAGCTGACATTACCATCTTAAAGATAAGTCATTGTGTATAAAACAGAGGAATCGCATGTATTAATATGGGTTGAAATTAATATGGACAGCCAAGTTACCATAGCAGGAAATTTATAATCTCCAGTGCAATTCAAGCTAATTCTTTTCTATCTTTCTTTTGGTCTCCTGTTCTCATCCTTTAATCCCCTCCCTCTTGCCAGGGAGTTTTCTAAAGAGAGAGAGAAAGCAAAAGCTCGAGGTGACTTTCAGAAGTTGCGAGAGAAACAACAGCTGGAGGAGGACTTGAAGGGATATCTGGACTGGATAACTCAAGCAGAAGATATTGACCCAGAAAATGAAGATGAGGGCATGGATGAAGAGAAGCCCCGAAACAGTAAGCAACTCTCCTCTGTTGGTCCTAGGGTGTCTAGCCAGCAATTAATGTTCTTTATGGGCTGCATTAATGAACCTATGCTCAGGAACTTAGAAGGGTGCACCCAAGCCTTGCTAAGATAAATTTTGCCATACTGCAACACTATCAATGTTTGCTACATAAAACTGGGGAAGGGAAGGGAAGGGAAGGGAAGGTCCACCACCAGAGGTGTCGTGTGGCAGCAGAAAAAATAAAAACACTGTCCATGGTGGAAAACAAAACCAGGTACTCCAAGGGTGCTTGGGGGCATGTTGGGGGAGGCTGTGGATCCATAGGATCCCATTTATTCTTGGTCCCCTGACACACCCACCCCGCAGTGCCAGCCAGGATAAAGAGATGCATCTTCCAGTCACCAAAAACTATATGGTGAAGTGGCCAGAGACACCTCTGTGGTGAGGAATTACAAAACCTTTGGACTGCCACAGAAAATGCCCTCTCCTGCATTACACACACACTGAGCTTCAGAGGACAACAGATCTACCAAGAGGGTTCCCGCATAATACCCAAGAGGAGCTGTTGGGAAGCAGACAGTCTTTCAGATATTTGGGACTTGAGTTGTTTAGGGCTTTAAACACTATCATGAGCACTTTAAATTGGGCTCAGAAACAAAGAGGCAACCAATTTGTGAATGCTACTCACCTGTTGGTTTCTCTTACCTTCACTGAGAGATTGATACTCACCAGTATTAGGAGCAGTGCTTTAAAAAAAAAAAAGTTTAGGGGTGCTCTCACTTTCCTACTCATATTGAAATACCACCCCTCAATGAGGCCAAACTTATATTCGCAAATGTTTAGGGGTACGCATCCCCCTGGGTCCCCCCAGAAAAAAGCACTCATTAGGGGGATTAGTAAGAATGCTTCTAAAATCCATCCTTCTTTATTTCTCTCTGGATTTTATTAGTGTCATAATGCCTTGTCCTGGTCACATGGTGGCATCAATGTTTTTGCTTTCTGTCACTGTGTTTTCAACATTTGTAATCATGACATCACATTCTTAATATCACACTGAGTGCATAACCCCCCCCCTGCACATAGATTTTTCCTTATTAAAATATATGTATCTTAATGTAATAGTGAGTACAACTGGGTGCTAAAAATAAGTCTGTGATGCTTTAATGTGTCCTGCAAATGGCCTAGCTGGGGGTGGGGGGTGAACCCATGATGAATGGGAGAAATGAAGGGCTGCAACAAGAACCAACAGTGCATTCACCATTTCTGAAATTAATTAGAAAATTTCATTTTGAATAATTGGAAGACAGGCAAGGCAGAACACTGTGGAAGAGAAATCTGTCCACCCATGGGCACTGGTATTTGGCAGTGTTTCAGATAATGAAATGGGATACAGAGAATCTTACCCTTTCATGCTCTTTTTTAATCGGCATAGAAAACCTCTACTCTTTATTAACTCCTGGGGATATTTTTCTTTCATTTATCTTGAAATACCAGGTCTTGAACCTTTCATACTATTAGCCAATTAACAGACAGTTCTTTTGTTCTTAACATTCATTGTTGAAATGTTCATTATCAGCTATATTCTTTTGGACAGGGAAAACCTAAAATATTTCCATAGATATACTCTGCTATCCATGTCAAATACCAAATAAATAATACCTGATCAATTCTTTATATGGCCAAACAAGCATAGATTTTCATTAAAACTATATCCTGTCTTTGCGCAGGCACCTTCATTAAAACTTTTGCTTGAGTAAAAACTCAAGAGATAAGCCTTGGAGAATGGTGTTAGCTCTTTAGCTAAATGCTTGCATTTCCAAAATCAACCAAATTTATTATAATTTATTTAATATGACTATAGAGTTATTAATTATGAAAAGGAATTAAGATAATAAAGCAGAGAAATGTATTTGTGTATCAGACTTCTATCCTACTTTTTAAAAAGAGTGCTTTAATGCTATTAAGAGAGATTCTGAATAGATTTTCCTAAATTACTGCTGAATCGCCCCACTGAGCAGCTGATGTGCACAAAGGAAAAGATGCAATTGAATTAGGATTAGATATGCCCCTCACCACAGATACAAGGGTAGTCAGGGAAGGTAGCAGGTTTCACTCACATCATAGTGGTGCATCAAATGTATCCATTTCCTTTTCGCATACAAATAAGTTGTTGCTTTTCAGTCATATGGAAAAAAGCAAAGCATTGTATTGGAGACACTCCCAGCTTGTAGAAAAGATCTACCAACCAGCCTTAACTGAAAGAGTCTGCACAGAAGTGTACAACTTGTCTATGTGCTCTATGTTATGCACTATAGCTCTCAAGCATACCTACAATATGCTATTGTCTCTCCACATAATGGTGGGAATTAGCTAGTTATATAAAAGGAAGAGATATGCATGCATAGGTCTCAGATTCAACTTGTTGCATGTCTAGGTAGTACAGGGAAAGTCTGTATGTCTGAAACAGGAGAGCCATCACCAGTCAGTGTAAACTGTAAACAATATTGAGCTAGATGGGCCAATAGTCTGACTATAATAGCCAATAGCCTGACTATAACTACATATGGAATGTATAATATTAAAAATGGGAACCCATTATGTTAAATCATGTATACCAAGCACCCAGTTTCAGAGTGTTACTCAAATCCTAGAAGGCTTATGATAGATGCATATTGAAGATTGAAAAAGGAATGCATTATGAAGACAGTTATTGGATGACAGACAGTATTTATGCCTGCTGGATATACAGATAATTAGTGATATAAGATCTACCATTGAAATTCAGGGCTTAATGTCATTTATTGGTCATTAATCTCAGAAAGTAACCAGTGGTATGTTTTGTTTTTGGAAGAGATATTACTTTAAATACTATAATGTTGGTGCCTGAATTTCAACTTTCAGGTTTGCTTACATACTACCTAAATGCAAACTTGGCTCCTACTTTGTCTGCTGAATCAATGCCACAAAATCACACAGTAGTTCCTTAAGTTGTTTGAAATCAATCTTGAAGTCCAGAGCGCATGTTGGACCACCACCAAAACTTGAGTAGGGACAGCAACATCATATTAAGAAGCGCTAGATTAGCTGATGGACCACTTGGTTCTGGCAAGGGAATGATGTGATAATAAGGCTTCAGTTCCATACCACACCATACATTAAAACCACATGTCTTCCCGCAAAGAATCATGGGAACTGTAACATAATTACAGGATTCTTTGGGAGAAGTCATACACTTTAAATATATGATGGGGACGAGACCATTTGTTCATGTCAGATTGGCACAGAAGTCAGACGATGAAGAAAATAATCAAGCAGAAGTTGGATACATCTTTGATGGGGTTCTTACTTGCTTCATGTTTGCAGTTTAAATGGTACCTCTTATTTGCAATATTGTTTTCATTTGTAATTAATAGTTAAAGGTGTATTTCAGATGTCAGATTATCTTTTGTTAAAGCTTGGTGAGTTTTACAACCTGAACCTACACATCCAGAAATAGGCACCAATACAGCTTAGTTGAAGGGAATTGTGTATAGGACTGCATTCATGCTAATTCTAATAAATAGTGTAACGTGGGCATAGTTGTGGACTATTTGGGAACATGGCTGTTGGGGTTATCCTGATGAGCACCTGCACATCATATTTACCACTATGCCATTGCTTAGACCTATAGGGATGTAAAAGAAACACCTCCTCTTATAGGATGCAGTTGAAAACTAGCAAGACTTTAACAGGACTGATGCCCAGAATCACTCAGATCCTCGTGTAGTTGAGCTAGAAAAACAATGGAAATCTATGTATCTCCCATCTTAACTATGTAGAAGTGGCTAGGACAGTTCATGTGGTGGTGACAGCTACAAGGGTTTTGGTTGTATATCAGCGCTGTCTGAATCTCAATGGGAATATGATGTAAGTGAGTCTGTATGAAAAAGACAGAGGTTAGAAAAACAGACTGGGGCATCTGATGGAAAGAAGGAGACTGATAAATGGTTCAAACTTTCACAGGAAAAATGATATGTATTCAAAAGCAACAACGATTTTCTTGGATGGTTTTATAGGATGTTATTGACCTTTTTGGTCACCTTGACATAAAATGATTTGGGAGCAGACGGGTAGAACACCCACCAGGCTTGCTCTTTCTGCATTCATTTGTGGAAGCCAGGGAGCTTCAATGGGGTTATGCTGCTTTTCCCAAATGCTGGTGCCTTAAGAGGTTATATGAAAAATAAAAGGGCTGCTTACTAAAACAGCCCACATTATATTGTTCATGGGCAGTCCCATAGTTTAATTTTAGTTGCTGAAACATGGTATGTATGTGTGCACGTGTGCATCCAGTTCAGTAGCGTAGTCATTAAGTAGACAGCTACTTTGCTTCTTGGTTTTTGTTCACTAATAGATGTACAGGAAGTGTCAAGGAAAAGTCAGCTTCCTTTTGGAATGGAAGTTCAACATCCAAATCTTCTCAAACCCACATTATTCCCCCTCTGTATTATTCAGTTTCCAGGCACATAGCCTGATGGAAAGGAGTTAGAATATTTTGGCTGTCCTATATAGCTGAGATATTTGGGGAGCTCTTCTTGTATTAAAAAATAACAGCCAAGGCACAGCGGCAGCAGAATTTGCCTAAGTGAAAATCATGAAATAGCAGAGGTTGGGAGCCAAGCTGTTTATCAGTTCATCTCCTTAGCTCACCAATTTAGCATCTGGAGAGCAGTGCCATCCAGACCAATTCCTTTTGCTCCTCAAGCACAAATACCACAAAACAAAATACAACATCATGGAATGATTTATTATCTGCCATCAAAAATTGATCGAAGGGGAGAGTGCAACAGTGTCTACTTTTATCTTTTGCCACTGAAGTGGAAAATAATCATTCAATAACCAAGGAAAGATTAGCTGCATATTCTGACAATTGTAGGCGTTATGCAAGAGAGCCTGACTAAAGCGCCACAGGAGCAGCAGTTACTGTGGTGGTGGAATACACTGTGTGTGTCTTGGGGGAACAGGGGGAGA